GATTGCTATGGGCTCTCCCTTTTTGGCAGACTGCTTCATGGCCAGCCTGGAAAACGACATCCTAAAATCAACAATGGACAAATTGCTGCTGTACGAAAGATACGTCGATGACACTTTTACAGTTTGTCAGGATGATTCCGATTTACATTGTATCTTACAGGAGTTTAGTAACTACCATCCCTCAATTAAATTCGCAATGGAAGTTGAAAATCGATCAAAGATTCCATTCCTGGACGTCGAATTGACAGGAAGAGGTGACGGAACTCTGAAAAGATCTATCTGTAGAAAACCAACATGGAATGATAAAGTTCTACAGTTGGATACCTATCAGCCGTAAAAGAGCTGTCATCATCTCGCTAGCCCACCGTACCAGAAGAATTTGTAGCGCGACTGTTTAGAAGAAGACCACCTATTTCTCAAAAGCACCCTGGTTCAAAATGAATAGCCACCGCGTTTCATGAAGAACATGAAACCAAGGCCGAAAAGAGAAGAATACACTTCAATGTAAAAGAAAACACTTTATTTGAATCTGGAATTCAAGGGAGACCTAGCAGCAGAAATCCTGCAAAGGAGAATCTCTAATTCCTTGAAGAAGACTTTTCCGGCAGCAACTCTAAGAGTGATATTCTCTGGCCGCTCACTGCTTCGGAGCAACGGGAAGGACAGACTTCCGTATATGACCACTTCAGTGTACATATATCAGTTCACATGACCTTGCGGAGCCAGGTACATAGGTCGTTCAATGCGGGTCTTATCAAAACGTGTTAGAGAACGTCATCCAGCATGGCTGCAAAGAGGAGGCACTGGTTCAACCAGAAGCGCAATAACTGAACACCTCATCAATACCTGTCACAGAATCTCAATTGACTCATCATTCAGAGTCATTTACAAAGTAAACAAAAATCTATCAAAGGCAGTGTGTTTCCGACGTCTTTGTACTGAGGAAGCTCTCGCCATGTGCATCGAAAGGCCGGAGCTATGTGTTCAAAAGAAACTAGTCCAGCCTTTACAACTACCATGAACCTAGTTCGGTATGCTCCCCTACCCTTCAGTTTTTTTGTTTTGTTCTCTGTGTGCAATTTTCTCTCTTTGTCTTCATTCAATTCATCCCATTTTCTCAGTTATAAAATCAGTTATTTTAAGTTTGTCTTCATGCTCCTCCTGATCACACTTGTAATCTGTTTATAATAACCATTTTACAGTGTAATATTTTGTTTCTACGCCTCTTGTAATTTATATTCACACCTCCTAACTTACATTCCAAGTTGAAAATTTTGATTTCAATTTGTTTCCATGTCCATTTTGTTCATACCTGTAATTCGTTGTATCCCTGCGCAAACTTCGTGTCTAAGCCTCTTGTAATTCATATCAAGTTGAAAATAATTATCACCTTTTATTCGCCTTTAAAATTATTTCTTCAGTTATCAAGCATTGATTTTGCATACGTTGTAACTGTTTTCTAATTCTGTGCAATCTTGTCTCTAAGCCCCTTGTAATCTATGTTCATATCAAGCTGAAAATTATTACCACCTTCGTTACTATGTGGAATTAAGCAAATAATAATTGTACCCATGCGAACTAATCTATATAAATGCGATTTTACAGCTTTTGAGAATGAAATCGCCGAAAAGATATTTTTGCTGAACTGCTTGTTCTTCTCATTCAGACATGAAAGACAGACAGTTTCCATTCTTTAAATCTGAAAGCCATAAGTCTCGCACCGTGTGACCCACCACTTTTTCGAAAAAAGTCTCTTCATAACCTTTGAAATATGACCTAAGTAACTAATTTGGACTTAGCAGTGAATGCATGGACGAAATTTCCTCAGTCATTAAGCTTGCTTGTCATTTCTTTTAAGCACGGGGTTGCAAGACTTCATCCTACAAGTTTCGTCTCGATTTTCACTGCCAGTTTCTAAGGGAATGGCATCACCTGAGCTTGGCTCCACACTTTAGGCAGGTGCTTCATAATGGCGACCCATTAAGAATCTGTAGCGGTAAAGAATTCCCCAAAATTATTAGCCACAGCACTCATCACTGAACACCGGATGCTGACCATCACTGTCTAAGCCAACTTGTTGAGCTGAAGGCTTCCGATCAAGCATCCACGACATTTGGCACGCCGTCGTGTCATGTTCGTTCATTCATGCGCGATCCGTAGATAGCTAAGCAATCATCTCACACTCTGATTTAGTCCCAAAATATATCTCGTAATTTGGATAAATAAATAAATAAATTTATTCTCATAGTACAGTACATGAGGGACGCCAGTTTACAGGCATCATCAAATTGTTACAGAAATAGAACCATATAATTCAATCACAATTTACAGGCAGTAGCAAGATATGCTTTACATGTTCGCTGGAGATTATACATACACTTAATAAATGTTAATCCCAGTAGTATAAAACAGCCTTTTCACTTATATACAATCATTTCTGTGCAAAGTTGGAAAAATCTGCTAGATTGTCAGTGAGTGCAACACAACAGGAAATACAGGAGTATTGTCTTCGCATTAACAAAAAACCAGGTCTTTGGTGGATGGATTATAAGTGCCTGGGAAAAAAATAAAGCTTGAAGTAAATATTCATACATAACTTTGTTGTGTCCAGAGTCCTCGAATTATAGTTCATTGATGTGTTATTTTGAAATCAGTGATGTGTTTATCTCACTTGATCTGCAATGTCATTGTTGGGAGTAAGTACATAAGCTTCGGACGCATTAATTAATGGATTTCTACTGCTTGTGGGTATTTTCTTAGCGTTAGGAAGGTTTATGAGTTTCAGCTGTTCCGACAGGAGTTGAGAATATTAACTGCTCAGCAACATTATGGATATAAGTTCATCACATTATCTAAGGAAAGGTGGGTTGCAGTTGGTGAGGGATATATGGTGCCCAACGAGCGTACATCTGTCCTTGTGATGTTGTGGTGAGTTATACCTTTTTCATGTTGTCGGTTTATGTCCATTTTATTCCACTTATTGTGTTGGGTAGTAGTTTTACAAACGAGATTTCTTGTCTGTTTGAGGATACGTATGTTAACCGTTAATGTTTTATCTAGAATTATAAATATAGGCAAAAAACAACAGGTGTAGTATTTAAGCTTATACATTAAATGGACCTATAATTTCGGAGGCTCTCAGATAGGAACTAGAACTACTATCGTTTGCAAACTCTTGTAGTTTGTCATTAAGCACCTTTTTGAAGGAGGCCAATGTACTTGCTTGACGCATTTCCATTGGCAGTTTATTCCATATCTGTGCATACCTAATCAAGTAAAACTTTTGCCTGGTGGCTGTTTTACATTGTTCGATAGCTACTGTACCCTTAGTGTGTCTTAGTTTGTAGCCATTGTCATCTGAAAGTTGAGTGCCATTAGTAGAGGTAAAAACTAAGTGGTTTAGAAGCTTATAGTAAAGTGTCAAGTTTAGTCTCAGGCGTCTTAGCCATAGTGTTTCTAGTCCTAGGGTATCACATCTAGTGGAGTAGTTCGTACCATTTCCGGTTCCGAGTAATTTTAACGTGAAGTACCTCTGCACTCCCTCGACTTTCAATTTGTCCTCTATGCGTATGCTACTATACATGAATGAACAGTAATCAAATAAAGGACGCACACAAACCTTGTACAACAGAATTCTAGACTCAGTTCTGTAGAAGTTCCTGAGTAGAAAGCCGATAAGTCTGCGTGACTTTGACACTTGTTTGGAGATGTGTTCAGAAAATGATAAGTTATGTGAATATTTCAGCCCTAGGTCCAGTACAGATTCCAGTCGTTGAAGTGCATGGCCTTGAATTGTCAGGTCAAGTTCTAAATTGTTGCAATCTATGCAGAGCCAGCCACATTTTTCGACATTAAATTGGAGTTGCCAGGTGTCACACCATCTATCCATTTTTTCTAATTCTTGCTGTATGGCGTTTACTGTTATTCCAAGATCTGTGTTCTTGCATTTATACGTCACTTTTAAGTCATCTGCATATAGTATTGGTTTGCCTACACTAAAGCATTCACAGATACTGTTTATATATATTATGAATAAGAGTGGGCCTAATACACTTCCCTGGATTACACCACTACTTACTGGTTTAGGCCTTGAGATTATCGAGCCAACTTTCGTTGTCTGACTTCGGCCACAGAGAAATGATTTTATCCAGCTCAGGAGAGGATCACATATCCCTAGTGAGCATAACCTGCTGACTAGCAGATTATGGGGAACTCTGTCGAAGGCTTTTGTTATATCGAAATAGAGCACAATTACTAGTTCTCTGTTGTCCCTACTTCGTGTAACTTCATTGAAAAAGTCTATGTGACAGGTCACACATGATCTTTTTTTAAGAAATCCGTGTTGTGATGGATTGATAAGTTCATGTTCTAGTAAGTTGTCTGACACTTGGTCTTTAACCACTTTCTCCATTATTCGTGATATTACCGGTGTTATATTGATAGGTCTATAGTTGCATTCTTCTGTTTTGCTTTGCCTTTGGTCTACGCGGAACGAATACTACAGAAGTTGTGGGTATTAGATCTTGCGTTAGTATACTTCGTACTATCCGTGAACGTCAATACCGTCAGCCTCTAGAAATCGTACACATGCAACCCTCGATAATAACGCATAGCCAAAAGTCGCCCACATGGATTCACTATGATCAACCAATTAATTCACTCTTATAATTTCCTTAACACAGTTGTCAATATCCGTTTTCCAAATTACATATTTAGTATTGTTATATAAGTTGCTAATATTAGTGCCGTCATTTCCGTTTTCATCTTCTATCCTAATGAAACAAAAGAGAAGTGATAGACTGATACAGATTTAGTCATATAACAGCCTAAAACTCCCCAATCATCCCTTCAGGTCGAATAATCCTTTCCCTGCCGCAGCAGCCTAAGATGATAATAGTAGTTATAAAAGAGAAATCAGTCAGAAAGCAAGGTTTATTTTTCATTATTCAGAAGGCTATTCAAAGAGATCATCTTCGTTTTAAACTGGCTCACTGAGGAGTATTTTGATACCTGAAGGTCGGAGCGATATTTATACCTTCAAGGTCGGGGTGATGTATTGTGGTGAATTGGGTGGGTTTACGGCTGTATTTGCTGCATATTTTAACGGTAAAAGTGGCTGATTTTTTACTTTATGTACAAAACCATCATTAACTCAGATTAAATATATGAAAACAACTGAAATAGATTTATCTGTCTATGCTTAAACATAAAATAGGATGTAAGATATATCTTGCAGTAATGTTAAACTCATCATGAAAAATGCGTAAAAAACGCTGTTTATTGCCAAACAAATGTCTTTTGTGTTGAAAGAAACCCAGTATTTGCTAAAAGAATGCGGCTATAGGTGAAAACAGCTTCAGATGCTAAATTAATATATTAGAACAAGACATATAAGCGAACAATAATGTTTTCGATTAAATCTTCAGGCTTTACTCTAATTTAGATAGACTTATATATAAAAATTTTAACCAATGACGGTGATTTTGAGAATTAAATAATAATAATGTGGTAAATGTTTCAAACGAAATTAACAACAATGATTATAATGGTAACAAATTATTGATAATAAAGTTTATGCAGGTGATAAGAATAACAAAGATAGTATATGTGTATATGTGGACATTTATCAATATATATATATTTATAAATTCGCGACCTCATTAGTTCAGCACCGCAATACTGAAATGGAGAAGTAACCTTGAACGCCCCGACCACATATTAAAGATGACTTTTGTGGATAAAATACAGATACATTCATGAAGAAAAAGGATTGAAAAGGATGCAACTGTTATGCAGGATACCTTTCTCTGACGTCTGACAAAAATACCTCCCAGTCTTGGACTCCAGTGCCAACAAAGTAATTTACTCACATTCTATGCATGTAATTATCTAGGTCACCCAACCCTAAGAATAACCCTAATCTTTCCTCAACCGTAAAGTGAAAACCTCCTAACTAAGCCTATTCTAACTCGGACCAACTTTAATGTCGGTCCCATCAGGTTTGTAAACCTGAAGATTTTGCCTGCAGTGCACCTGAAGAAAATGCTAGCTGGGAACCTAACCCTAACCTGTCCTTAGCTTTAACCCTAACTTTTTCCCAGGCGAAGTTCAACAATAGCGTCCCAGGAGTGCGAACGCTCCAGTGACCTTGAACGCATGCGAGTCGTTGACTTATGACACTTGTCATTATCATAACTAAAATATCAACGCTATTCACCAACTAAGATGCAAATTTCACCCAGATCACAATTTTAAGTACTGTTTGGACAGTATGTTAATAGCTCGTTAGGGTTAGGATTAGAGTTAGGGTAAGTATTAGGTTAGGGTTAGGACCAGGGTCATAATTAGCGTTAGGCTTACGGTTAGGATAAGGGCTGTGATTAGGGTTAAGTATTAAGTCTAGGGTTACGATTACGGATAGATTTAGAGTTGATGCCATTTATCTTAATTTGCAAATTAAAATAAATGATAAAACAGTTTTATCACCCATATTTGTGAGTCATTAGTTGTCGATCCTCTTACTGGAAACCATAGTAATTCAATCGAAGGCTTTTGGGAAGACTGCACAACAGGATAAGAGTGATAAACTATTCACAAAACAGCTCATCTTTAGTCACCTCGGTGAGTACATATACAGAAACTAGTCTTACTTAGCAACTGAAACTCTTCATCATAACTGTGACGTATTTTTAAGTCACGTCAGAGAAAGACACTCAGTGTTAATGTATTTTTATGCATTTTTTTTGTAAGTATACGTCATTTTCCGTGCAAAAGTTCCTCATTTTTATGATTGGTTGGCTCAAGGTCACTCGTGCGTTCACATTCTTGGGTTGCTATTGTCGAACTTCGGCCTTTCCCAAACCTAACCTGAAACTTGCCAGATATCCCATTTAATAATGTGAATCTTCATTAGGCTTATTTTATTCATGTTTACGTTATTATTTACCAGGTTTAACTAACCTGCCCACTGAACGTTTCAAGGTCATCGATGGGAGTGCACTACATTGCTACGTACTGGTGCCTAAAGTTTTACTTGGCAGCAATTGTTTATATATATATATATATGTAATTTCCTATGACAGATTGTCTCTTTAGTTTAAGCGGTAACTAACATCTGGCACATAATCATATATACGTTTTTTTTCTCGTTTGTTTGTTTACTATCTTTCATCTCCTAATAAGGTTAGTTGATGAGTTCTTTACTTGGGAGGAATTTAAAGTCGTCAACATGCGTGACGAATTAGTGAAGGTATTTATACCAGCACGCTAATTAGTAATAATGTTTAGAAGTTGCAGTCCCTTCAAGAACGCAAACGTCTTATGTGTTCCCGTTCAACAAAGATACGTGAAATTGAACTTAAACGAAAAATAATCGAAAATGGTTAGTATTTTGTATAGTGTATTAATAAATATCTGTTTTCAGTGCTAGAAGTTATGCCGAAGTCGTCAGAGACTGCCGTACACCTCCGTGCCATCGAGTCGGAGGTAAATAAACAAGATATTGCTCTACGGCCTTGGAAGAAAAGGAAACTTACTACGTCAATAAGTTCGACAAGTGAAACGGTATTTAGTCTAACATTTACAGTCAACTAATCATTATTCAACTATAAAACATCGACAAAACTGATAAATTATTTTTTCGGTGAAATGAACTAAATTACCAACTTAATCTTTATACAAAAGCGATTCAGTTCGAGTATCCACACTTTGAGAAAGCAAGCACTAATTTGGCTTACTTATCGACGTAGGACTTTGGATAAAAGTGTTTTAGTATAAGTTGGAAATAGCGCTCAGCAATCTTACTACTTAACTTCCCCTGACTACCTAACACTTCGCGTCTAACCTCATTATTACTATATTGCACCACCTAGGGCGAGTAATTGAATGCAAACACCTATAGTCCCAAACCTCTAGTGCTTTTGTACTTGTCACTTTTAATAGTCGTGAATAATAATATGTCTTCTGTTCCGACAGCCGTGTACTACGCATATCCCCCGGTTGATAGCTGGAAATTATGCTTGTTGCAATGGTATTAGTTCGCAATTGCTAAATGAACATTATATTGTCCATGCTGAGAATTCGTCAGCAACCAGTCCATTAGGGTTGATGCAACTCGCCAAATAAGTAGAGTGAACAACATCTTCAGAGGATGAGGGCATATCGATGTTTACGGAAAGTACGACGTATACTAACGCAAATTCCCACACCCACAACTCTTATAGTATTTGTTCTGCGTAGACCAACGTCAAATCGAAACGTCAGATTGATTGTCCAAAATACGAAATATATTTTAGGATCAGAATCGTAGTGCGAGGATGGTCGCTAGACTAGCTAGTAATCGTGTATGAACGAACGAACGTAACACGACGGCGTGCCAAATGGCGTGGATGCTTGACTGCGAGCCTTCATCTAAACAAGTCAACTTGAACAGTGAAGGTCAGAATCTAGTATGGAGTGATAGCTGTAGGCTAATAATATTTGGGAATCATCAATCGCTACTCATCCATCCATTTCACTGCCTATCCTTTAACCAAGAGTTAGCACATACCAGTTCTTCAGAATCGTGTTCTAAAGAAAAATGGAGTTACGCTCAAGGTTTTCAAAAGGCTGTTTTATCAGCACTATTTGAAAGGATAGTATTATCTGCTTGATCCATAGTATCATATATATAGTAGCGTATCACTTGGACTGTACAAAGTGCATATATCACTAACATTGACCACTAAATGTCTAAGTGGGGTTTAGGCAGATCTGTATGTCATCGCATGGCACGACGATGTTGTGTACTTACTCCAGGTTCGGATAGATTGAATACATTCACAATTTTTAGGCTTTACTTCTCCAAATAATTGCGTCATTTCGATAAGTGGATCTAACATGTGGTCTGAAAATGAACCAATCAGAGATCAACATCTAACGTCTAATAGTTAGGCTGACCGATAACCGACTGTTTTTATCTCTTTTAAAATGCCTACAGTTTTAGGTCTGTACTGTGTACTGTTTTATTTATATTTTCAGCATGTATACACTTTTCTTACCGAAATAAGTTCTCTCTCACTTTGTTGGTTGGGGGAAATCAGCTAAGAACTGTTTAGCGTTGTTGATAGAATGCAGTTGGTATTCATGATTACTATGGCTTTGCTAGTTTGTGCATTTCCCCATCCAACTTTAAATTATGGAGCATGAAGCATTTAGTCATCGATTCGAAAATTTTTTGTTCATATTTTTCAGCGTTAGCATATTTCAAATATAATGTGGTTATCACCCGCCACATGTGTTTTAGGCATTTGTCGTTACTCTCGACCACATTTCTAGTGTTATTTTCATTTGATTCCACTTGTACACTCGTACGCTTTTATTCTTCCATACATTTATAGATATTATGTTCTAAGCACAGCAATTTGACATAGACTTACCTTTCAGTGGTTGGATAAAATCGTTGGCCCTTAAATATTGTCAGAAGTGGAGATTGTGTAGGCTCAAAAACCACTTGCATAAATACTGAAAATAACTTTATTCTGTAAAGTGAAGATATAAACCTCTTCAGTTGGAATACATTTCACCCCATTTTGGTCAGATATGTGTAACTCATTTAAGTATATGCATTCATGTCTCGCCTATGAGCAGTAGAGTTAGGACTGATAGTTGTCTTCATTAGTTTACTGATTTCAAATAACTCGGCAATAAGAAATAAAAACAATTGGTTAGCAAGTCATTTTAAGTTTTCTGATGTTTCACCACTTCTGGAATAGAAATAACGACATTACTCGACTCATTTCAGATAATATTTATCATTATTTTGTTTAGATTAAACAACTGTGTTTTAAACATATTGATCTTCAGCATTTTCAGTCAATGATCTGTTAATATTTACACATTTGATAAGGTTTAAATTGCTATTGAATAAGAATAAAGGTAGTTGAGTGTGTGAAGGATAAACTGCCGCTTTGGGCCACTTCAATATATGTTTATAAATTCACCTGCTCGTGTGGAGCTAGTTATATTGGCCGCACAAAGCGCACACCCTCCAAATGCATCTCTGAACATAATCCGGCATGGTTAGCAAAAGGAAAATCCAAGACAGTTGCTAGCTCAATTCTGGAGCACTTGGTGAACTCAAGCCATGTAGCTCCACCAGAGTCGCCTTTCAAAATTATCTACAAGGTGAGCCCAAATGGTACAAAGGGCGTCAGGTTTCGGCTTTTGTGTATGGCGGAGGCGTTGGCAATTCGTCAATACATCTCCGAACTCTGTATACAGGAAAAGTTTGTCCAGTCTCTTGTTCTACCTTGGTCTGAACCTCTTCACTAGTCGTTCCCTGTAAAGAAAATTTTACTTTTTAATTTTCAGTTTTACTTTTAGTTTGCTTTTACTTTAATAATTAATTCACTATTAATCACTCTCATATGTTTCTTTTGTACATTTTCACACCCGCTTCACACTTGTTAAATTGACACTCAATTACCTTTATTCTCACTCAATAGCAATTTTAACCTTATCAAATTTACACATTCATTTAAAGAAAGCATCAAGTCAGTTTTACTTACGTTGTCAAAGGAATGATATCTAAGGTCGTGATTTCCTTTTTCTAAAAATTAAACTAGTTAGTCAACGGTTTTTTAAAAGTCATTGTAAACAAAATTATTTTTCTTCATTTTATAGCCATTACCTACTTCGATTGCAGTGAATCCAAGTCATCCAAAAGATCCAAGTCTAATTCATGCTGATAGTTTGCGTAAAGGCACATTAGAATGGCGTTTAAATCGTGCATTAGAGTCCAACAAAATCGACTTGGCTGTAGAAATAAGTGATCGTATTGGAGATAGTTCTGTAAGTTGCAGTTGATGGTTTTAGTTTTAGAAACGGCACATTCTGCATTTAAAATTTTGTGAAATTTAAAACTATAAACATTACCACTAGTAGTAAAGTAGTTGTATTTGTTGCTTTATTAAGATGAATGTAGCCTTGAATATCTGTATGCTTATTACTTCATAATATTTTTGGTTTCATCTTATTGAAATACATTTTGTTTATTGACACATTTAATTCAGTGAAATGCATTAATGAATATAAATACCCAAAAACTAATATTCAGTCCTCTATAACATCCAGGGCGTGTCTGTGTTAGTTGCCGTTAGTCATAATACGTCAGTATCCTAATGATTAAATCTTTGATTACTTTCAGACATAATTATTTTGAACAGTCTTATGTTCCGAATCAATTTTAACAGATGTTTTGCTTTTTAAGTATAGTATCAGTTATACATACTTTGATTTTCGTATATGGAAGGACGATTCAAGAGTCCTTTGAAGCATTTCCGTTGTTTCACATATTTTTGGTAATTGGATATCCTTTACTACATTTTACCGGCTCCATCCATGTCGACCTCTTCCCAGATGATGACGAGATTATATGATACAGTGTTGTGAGGTCTGTCTTACCTGCATCCTTTTCCGCCTCGGTTGCCAATTTGTCGTAAAAGCATCTTTTGTTTTTCTTAACACTCTTGTCCACTTCTTTGTTGAGTGCTCTGTAGATTTTATTCGGATTTCCTTTTCGTTGTTCATCTGTGGATTGGCTCATCTTCTGCTTTCCCATCTTTCTCTTCTCTGTTGGCTTCCAGGTGTCCGTAATAGGCCACTGCTTGTCTTGCCTAAGACGTTTATGCAGGTTTACTTCCTCATCGCTTTGTATTATGCATATAATAGATATGTAACGACAGAAGTTTACTTTTTTTGTGTGTAACAGGAGCTCCCTCTGTGGACAGATTATGTAACTGGAAATCCTTCGAATGACTTGGCCTTTCGTTGTATAACATTTTAAAAACTGCTCTTTTGGTACAGAATAATGTGTAGGAACAAGGTTCTTACGAATTAAGTTATTGTTCCTTCTAATTTCTCCTTTCGGTAATAATATTGGGAGATGTTCTTGTTCACGTCAAGACAATATCGTAACGATATGACTGGCCTATGTACTTATCTTCACATGCAGTATTCTTGTGCATATAGCAGTTTACCTGCTCCTGTGATGGAGTGTTGAGTTGCATCACATTCATATAAAAGAAAGGAAATAACAGTAACCACTTGGGTTTTTGTACAGTTGGAGCTAATCCACACCTACTGTGTGTGAAGGCTAATATTGTTGCCTGGTTGCCTATACCTCGGTAGGTGGAGCAGGGTTCGAACTCCTTTACTTCATAAACTACATACAGCTCCACGCATTCATATGATAATTAGATAGTCTATATAATTACATGATTCATACTATAGTCCTCTTTATCAATCATGTCTATCTAATCTCTTTGTATTTCTTGGAAAATATAGTCGTCGTCCACTGTTCTTCCTAATGAGGCGACTTCTCCGGTTACTCATACACCAAGTGAATCCAAGGAGAAACCAAAATATCGAAAACCTGTGTGGCTGTAAGTTATTCTCAAGATAACAAAAATGACTAATAGTATATCATATCTATCATATATATAACTAACTGTTTATTTTGGTGTAGAATTGTAAGTGGTTACATTTTAATGAACTGATAGTTTCAAAATACACTTAAATTGCATGATTGATCAATCTGAATATACATTTTAGTCAACAAAAAGAAAAATAAAGAGAATATGGAGTACTAAGTCCGTTTATGTTACATCTTAAAATCAGAAAGTACAGATGGTAGAATTTAGACCTTAGGATAGTATAACATCATCTCATTGTTAATTGTTACTTTGTGATCAGAATTGTCTTGTGTTAATACAATTTTGGACAACATGCTATAAATCATGTTAGTTAAGAGAGAATTCGCTGTGAAAGAAGTTAAGGTCAGTCATACTAAGGTGTATGTCACAGAAAAAACTGTAGGCCTTTTGTTTGCTTTAATAGTTACAGACTTAATTGTATGTATCAAATAATTCACTACAACAATGTAGATACAGCTATAACTTATATGTACATTTCACTTTTTGATGTTGTATAATTAAGTATTTTTATTCATCTTATATGCTGTGTTTTATTCCCTTGCACATAGGGCTTCAAACTACAAACTTTGAAGTTTCTGTAGCATTGGTGTTATTTTTACGACTAGGGTTGTTAGCCTCACGCCCAACCCCCTCTTCCACCTTTACTGGACTTAGTGCTAACCAGGCAAGGTTTGGTAGTGTATTAGTCGAGAATCAAACCCGGAACACGTGTTTTGACTTATTGATTTTTTAAGGCTTTCCATCATTTTGTCTTTGCCTGTTGTTATTCTCATTTTGTTATAATTATAAAGTGGTTATGCATGACGTTAATATCTCATCATTATAGACTGACGGTATAATGTATATCGCTACTTTTCTCAGATACGTTAGAGTCAATGAGTTCAAATTATTGTTGACTCATAATCGTGTGTAAGTAAATTCGAGTGGCTTTAAATGTCTATCCCCCCCCCCAAGCTTTTAAGTATCCTTTTGTTGTTAACATTAGCGTATAAAACAGTGTCGTTCCATAAACCAAACAGATAAGCAATTAGTTGTCAGTATTATGACTCGGTTCTTTGTTAACCAGTCACCTGGTCAGAATGGGAGCCTATGGCAAGATCCTGCTGTAGTTATAGTGACCTTTTTTTAATCACTCCTAGTCATTAGTTCAGTCACTGACTCATCGTATGATTTAGCATCATAATTCACGATACACTGGGTCAATAAAGTTCATTACACATTATAGTCATTGAATAGTAGTATGAAGGTCTTAATTTTAGTTACAGGTCAAATCATGTGATTTAAATGAAAATGTTTTTAGTTGAAACAATGGACAGTAATATAAAGATTGTCTTTTTATATTTTTGATTTTCTCGCAAATCAATAATAATATATGATCATTTAGGTACAAGAATTTTTAGTGTTAATTAAACAAAATGTAAAAAAAAGGTCGTAAATTTATAAATCGAATCGTATATGTTAATAAAACTGATCGATTTTAGCGTAAATTTTCTCACGAATCAACATGAATTAATGAGCATTAGAAATTTGTTTTAGTTAAATTCCATATTAATTTGGATCATCATCCAGTCATCCAGTAAATAATAATACTGTTTCAGTGTGTGTGACATGTCTAATAAACAAAATAAATATGGAATCGTCTGCTGCCACAGTGCCAAAGTCTTACGCATTTATTAATTGTTTTATTTTACTTCAGGAATCTAAAAATCTTTCTTTCATTCCTTTGAGTTCCATCTGGAACACATGACTTGAGGAATGAGCTTTGAAGTTTCAGTAGTGACGGTCGGTGACCACATACGCAGCCCACCGTCTTTTTCTGGATTACTGTCGGCTAGTAAACTAGACAAGGTTTAGGAGTGTGTTGGCTGGGATTTGAACCGGGATCACCTATGTGGTTGGATGTAGACAGAATTCGAGTGGTAAAAAGGGGATCGCAAATAGGACAAAGGAAATTGCTAGTTAGATCTTCCTTGACCAAACTATGGATAATGGCTGCACTATAGAAATCTCCAGTATTTCAAGATTTTAAATCAATACATCATTTTAGTATAAAAAGAATCACTCACCTTCAGTTTTAAGTTTATGTGGCAGTTTTGGTTATTAGGCCGTCTACTGATGATCTCATTTCGAAATGATACCATGGACCTAAATACTTTCAATTCCTTATCTTCATCTAATTCTATAGCACTTTTATTACCGTGTAACTATTTCGGATTTCAATACAAACGTCAAGTCAGTTTTGCTATACAGATCAGAAACTTGGCGGGTCACAAAGAATATTTCCAACAGCCTGTTGCAGACCTTTATCAACAATTGGCTCCGTTCTATACTCAAGATCAGATGACCGGAAAGAATCACAAACAAGAAGCTATGGGAACAAACAAAACAAGAACCAACCGCTCAAAAATATGCAGGAGAAAGTGGAGATGAATTGGACACTCGCTGAGAAGGCCGTTGGGTAACATCGCGCGTCAGGCCAGTGCTCGAGTGGAACCCGAAAGGGAAGCGGCGAGTGGGACGTCCAAGGGTGACATGGAGGAGATCGTGTGATAAGGAACTGAAACAGTATGGATTAACATGGATGCAAGTGAAAAGTACAGCAGAAGACAGAAGCAAGTGGAGACGTGCAGTTGAAGCCCTATGTTCCACTAGGAACCCAAGGGAACAATAATATATAATAATAACTATTTCTGTTTCATTTTTCAATGTGTTTTTTCAGCGAAGAGTCTCTTTTCGGCGAATTCATTCCCTTAGCTGTACAATCGCATTTATATATAATTAGTGTGTGTATGTGTACATCAGGATTGTCAAACAAAAATTTAAAAAATAGTTGGGGTTATTGTTTACGTCATCGAAATGCTTCAAAAATGTGATGAGTAATCGAATTGTAAATAGGGGTGGTGAAGATTGGTAAATATTGACAAGTGTTGCGTAATACGAAAGACACTCAGAAAAATAGGATGTTAATGAAAGAGCATAGAGAAAATATATTGCTAAGACGTCATACAAACACTCAAAAAAGCCTTATTAACAAAGTAGTAGAGCTTGGAATTATACCCAAGGTAGAAGGAAGGAGTGGAGAAGTTTCTTCTGTGTACATAAATCGATGTTTTCTATCCGGTTCACTAAGGCCTCAGCAACGCAAAGTATACGGAAGCTTACCGTTTTCCGGAGGCTCCTTTGACTTTGTAGATGATTTTGAATGAATTCTCCTTACCATTTGAGTGACCAGTGTTTGTTGAATATATGTTCAATTATAGCACTCCTTATTGATCCACTGGTACCTTATCGTAGCCATGCGGGATAATGTTCTTTCACTCTTTTAGATAAAACACGCATCGAAAGACCCATATATCTCACTCCATGTGAGCAAGTAAATTAGTAGATGCACATCTAAGTGGTTGAATGCGATAGTTCATCTTTGGAGTTGTTGAAGAACAGTGGGCGGCTTGAGAATACCAATCGTAATGTAGAAGCAGAGAATGTTGTTTTCAGGGTGTTAGATATTCTTCTCTTTAGGATGTCGGCCAGGTCGCCTTTTTTCCAGTTAAATGATATTTCAGGCAAGCGCCCGTGAAAGTTCTATTTTAAATGATTCAATGCTTCTTCAAAGAATCCCGGAAATTATTGTATAAAGATGCAGCCTGTCACTTGGCTGACATACAGGTTCAAAGTGATGACAGTCACTACTTAATGTCATCAAATAGGAGATCATTGAATTCCTATCAAGCGCTTAAATCACTGTATACTTTTAATGAGACATGGATATCATGGGGTATATCAAAGCACTGACAAAATATAATTTCTCTTGTGGACTTCGCAAAATCTTTTTCATGCAACATGCCTCTTTTATTTGTCAGGCTTTCCAAGATGATGATAGATAATTGATACACACGTAATCCGTAGTTTAAAGAATTAGGAGTGAAATGGTCTATTGTGCCGGAAACTGTCTATACAAAAAGTAAGGAATGGGAAACACATGATTTGACAAAAAGCCTTCTCGGCAATTTCACTTATTACTGCTTTGTTTTAGGCATTTTCATCAACATACTGATGTAACAGCAGAAGACAAAGGCCAGGCAACAGATCGTTTATTAAGGAAAATCAACACATATTTATAGATTGGAATGTACATTATTGTAGATTATTGTTAGTAGAAAATACAGTCTTTTGATTGGTTGTTCCTCACAGAAAGTTAACCTTGCATCTCTTTGTGGCTGTGTCAGATCATCCATATGCTAACTGTACCCGCCTACGCAGAGCCTTTGTTCTCATTTTCTCACCACCAATATTGGGGACACGCTGAAAATTCCATACCTGTACCACAAATACTGTTTGGAATAAAGCTATTATTATTATTAAAAACATTGACGTCAATTACTGTCTACCAACTTTGGCTAGCAGCCAACTCTCACCACACTGATAACTGAAGAAGTTTTCTTTCCAAATGTTGCTTGGTGTTATATCGCGAATTGGCAGAAGTTAGAACTGATGGGTCATTGGATTTTGTCCCAGTGGCTGAATGCCTTATGAGCTTATCTTGTAAGCTGAAAATTCTGTGTTCGATCCCTGGTGGAGTCGTGTGTGCGTACTGATGAAGAGTCCCAAACAAGGACTAAACATTTGTCCTGTACTTCCTGTTTTTCAGTAGTTCTTTAACTGAAGTCAGTTGACGATCAATCTTGAAATCAACCAAATCCGTACAAAGCAACATTTAGAAATTAATCTAGTGCTCACTAATGACCCACTACAGCATGAAGTTGCTTGAAGCTCGATAGTGGGCAGTTGTGACCAAAGGGATTCATCAAGTTGTGTGTGTGTGTGTGTACGACTACTCGCCGATGACACTGGCTGGCGGTCGCAGTATATAGAGAGGATTTTTATTTTTACAACTGGATTTTGGGGCATTTATCAAAGTCTGGTGTCTTCAAGATGTTTCGTCATTGATTAGCATAATAAAAAGCAGTTTGTACCATGAAATCCTGTATACTGTTCGTTCTAATATCATTCTATGTCTCTTCAACTAATTTTTCAATTTTTGATTGGATGCTACCGAAAATTTCAATTTTTTCTAATGTTCTTATTTATTTAATCTGTGTATCATAGTAGTAGATTATGATAAGTTCGAATTGTTCACAACTTGACCTGTTTGTTGCCTTATTGTTCTTCTAATGCCTTTTTCAAATGAAGTGAATTTCTTATTGACAAAATCGGAATAGTTCATTATCATAATCAATTAGATTAGATTTACCCCCAAATGAAGTCATGCTAATCAGTTGTTGTTCGCTCGGATTAACGGATTTGTTTTTTCTTGTTGTATTTATGTGTTGTTGTTTTTTCCACATGATTGATTTTGTTTTATGGTCATTATTTGTGATAAAGTCTATTCACGCATCTGCTTTAATAGATTTTCATTCTGTAAGGTGTAATAAGTTGTTTACATGAAAGAAAAACACTCTGTTTGTTGTTAACAACAATTAGGTAGGTCTTTTGACTAACCACTTATTTATCACCAACCACTGTGTCTCCTGTTTAAGGCTTATTCCGTCCGAAAAATGTTTAAACACCCAGGCGGTATCATCAATTATCATAATGTAGGTGTCACTTATTGGGGTAGTGCATTATGAACATGGATGTGATTGGGAGACATATATCAGAAATTTGTGCTTTCTTAATGATTTGAATACTTTTTCAATCACTATTGGAGTCAAGCACTAAGCGCTTAACTATTAAGCAGTCTAGGTCACATTTGACATTTTCTAATAGAGAGTTACACCCACAATTGATTTTTTTTTAATTTAAGAAACATTTTTTTTAGAGAAAATGTTTATTAGTAATCGAAGTTCCAACTAGTTATATGTTGGATTTACAACTATAGTTGGGAACATTATATTCACAGGTGGATCTGAAGACTATTAATTTTACTTTATAGTTTTATCTTAGATGAAACACGATGGATATCGAACTGTAATCCACCTTGTTTACACGTACACTGTACATCTTATGATATATATAGGATTTAGTCGTTACAGAAGACTCCGGTGTTATCCTCATCATCTTTTGATAACTTAATGTACATTTACGTATATTTTTGTCCTTCTGTAAAATGCAATAACTATTGACAAAAAAAGAAGACGATTTTGTTCTACTTTCTTGTCTGATAACAAAAAATGAGATGTAAACAAATCACCTACCGAGAACTTCATACACGTGGATTGTATTACGTTAGTTAGAACTGAAATTACACTATTCACATCAATTTAATGTGGAAGTCTAAATTAACCTCAATAACTAAAATTTACCATGTAAATTTATTTGAGAAATCCATTTGACATGAATAAAAATGATCAATACGTAAAGCCGGTTAATAGGGTTAATAATAGGCTACAAGTTACACCTTTTTCCCTGGAATTTTTCTTTACACTGTTGATAAAAAGATTTCAGTTATCTTCATTGTTTTCTTTTCAATTCAATGTTACTAAGTTAGTGTACCAATTTTCTTTAAAGTACATTATCAGTTGAGTATAGAAGTTTCTTTGAACTTAGAAAATAACCAGACCATCTTTGGCGCACATGTACTTACGAAGAATTAAACTACTTAAAGAAGTAGAATTGAATTACCATATCGCTTTGAACAATAGAATACTATTCCCTGAAATACTCCCTGAGTTAAGCTCTGTCAACAACATAATCTTAGACAGTTATTATGTTAGAAATGCGCTAATTTAGTGGATAAGATTTTATTTGTCTTATTTATTATGATTAAATACGCTTATTAACAACAAGGTTGGGTATGTCACACACACGTTATATATATATATATATATATATGCATTGCTATAAGACATGTGTATAATCATTGTTGATAGTAAACTGATTTATGTCCGGTTTTTCTTATGTTTTTAAGTAAAAATATTGATTAATGTATGTCTGTCCAACTTAATATTATTCCGACATTACTGTGACTTATAATATCACTTATATGAGTGGGTATATATATTATACAGAGGTATAAACTGTCTTCTGTCGGATAGTGTGAAATTACTCTAATGCTGTTACATTCAAAGGGAAATCATATGTTAGATTTATTAGGATTTTTGTTGGCTTCAAGGTAGACTTCGTTCGGGAATTGACGTCCTACTAGCCAATCGATGTTGCTTCCGCCTACATGGTTCTGCAACTGATATTGGTTAGCGATTAAATCGACCTTCTTCGTTTCTCTTTAATCAGTATCTTGTAATAATTGTCACACCCTTTCTTTCTATGACTTTTTTGTGTATTATTACATAAACTGTAGCGCCTTGAATCACCTTTAGTTTGTGCGATTCATTTTCGTGAATTCTCTTTATACTTCTTTCAGTTAACTATGTTTGTTTGTGAACAGCAGCCTTGATAAGACATTACGTGCCGCTTAACCAGCTTGTTAATATTCGGGTTGACAGGCACATGGACTCATGTGAAAAATGGGCTAAATCCATTTTATCTAACTCATACAACCCTCTTCATTCACAACTCTCCCCTTGCATCTCATCAGGCAAAACCAGAAGCCTATATAGAAAACTATATGCTCGCACCAGCAAGTACAAAAACTCAACCATACCCTACTTAGCTCGTGTTCTGTGCGATAAAGAAAGCATTAGGTATGATACCTATAACTTATTAAATAGTCAGTAGAACAACTGGATCTCATCTTTCCAACTCATATCATTTATAGGTACAACGTTTTCTTTCCCTTTTCTCTCTCTTCTTTCCTGTTATGTGCTGCTTTGTTTCTTTCTTCCGCTTACGCCATTAAATATGATAGCACCTACTTTTCTAACACCTTCGAACACTGTTCAACTTTGGCTTTGCTACCGACATGCCAATATGTTGTTATCATAATGAACTGAGATTTCCTTAATCTATGTAGAATTCTATTTATTGATAATGTACTAACTGGATGCAATACTGTAGTAAAAATGCTGAGAATTCCATTCTGTATCACAAGTACTGTTTTGGAATAAAGCAAATTATTATTGCCTGTGTCATGTTTATCATCAAACTGTTTTCTTGTTCTCAGTTTTCAGGCGAAAGAACGATGGGAAGCGAAATCAAATATGTAATCATCATTGTGAATTAAGCCGATTACTTCGATCAAACTATGCAGAGAATACTTGCGGGAACTCAATGTCAACATTACCCTTGCTATTTTTGTACATAATTGAAATCCTAACTTGTAAGAATAATAAATTTGGTTTTTAGAATCCCGTGTTTTTTCAAGTTTCCTTTCGAAATCGGGCAATGTAGTGTTTTTGTGACATGGCGCATGTGAGCTTAGGTTTTATGTGCTACTGCTTAGTGCTGTCAATTAGACCGGACATAAAATCACTAATATTTGAATTACTCTTTCATGACTATCTTCAGCTACTTAGGGTGAAACTGTCTCCAACGTCCACTGTCATTCAGTTGTGCACATGGTCTAACATTAAAACATTCTTACTTTCCAGCGAGGCAAATTCCTATATTAAAAAGGCAAAATACTGGGGTTTGTTCTCTTTCCCATTGAGAGGTCAGAGCTGCACTGTCTGATTTACGCCTCTTTTCAAGAATCTCCTTCATTTAATAGTACTTTATTAATTCTAGAATCACCTTTAGTTTCTTATCGATCTGAAGAACAGGACTACTTTACAATGTTTTTCACGCTAGATGAATTTTAACCATTGTCTCGCCTTGTAATACAGAAATATGATAAACAGTATACCTTACTTGAGATTATAGTCTAGTATAATCATCTGTAATGTTTAAACAAGTGAAACCTATCCTGCACAGCAGGCAGGATAGAAAACTAAGGAAAGATGCAGTAAGGATCAGTCATAGACGCGTATTATTGTACTACAAATTTAAAGTTTGCTTGAAAGTTAGGTATTTCGATGCAGTTTGCGAGTCTGTGTTTCTGAACTAAGAAGAAATATGAAGGCCCAGACGAATAAAAAATGCCTAAGTATAATGGAGAGGCTTCTTAAAAGCTGAACTCTCTTTATGGTTGTCAACAGCGTCTATTGTTTCCCATAAACAGAACACGCTTTAAAGTCGTAACCTATGGGGATATTCAGTAGTCGTTTAATTGGGACATAAGTCTGCGCCGTTTCACATACAACGATGGTGAGCTGTGTAACCTCACGTAGAATAGATAAGACTCATACCTTAGATTGCCAAACGCCTCATGATTACTACATTTCACTACCCACCAATCATACACACTAACAACAGCGGTAGTAATATGAGTTGCACGACATTTTGAAGACGAATTATTAATTTATTTGCAGGATAAAACATTAAAGCCGAAATGAAAAACTTGACAATTATACAACGATATGGGTCAAAACAGAGGTAGGAAATAAAATGCTTTAGAATGAAACATGACCGACGGAGTACAGTAACGAAACAAAGATTATTTTTCGTATACAGTGAAGTCAGATCATTTATACATAAGGAAAGACAAAATCTGAACTATTAACATAAATTAACTCTACAATGTATGATTTTTTTCATTGAGATATATCAAGACAGTTGACCAGTGTCTTTCAGGAAACGCTGAAAGTCCGCTGCTTGTTCTTCGTTTAGTTCTTCTAGAGATTCGTTAGACAGGTTGATATCTGAACACATTTCTTCACAGAAGTTATTTGGCTCTGTCCAATTCGAACCAGAGGCATTTTGAACAGCAGCCATTTCTGAGGCATACATCAGTAAATCTAAAGCGGTGGATCGCAAGATTCGCATAGGTAACTGTTCTTCTACTAGTAATGCACGCAAACTAGTCAAACACTTATTTATTAGTGTGGAAAGGTGTGATGCAGAAGTAAAATCTTGATTATTTTCACAATCACCTTCACGTTCATCTAAATTACAAGTGCGCTGCCACGTACCGTCAAGAACTCTTACGTTAGTACTTGTCAGAATTAAATTGAAGTGCATAAGTCCCTGAGAAAAACCATCGAATAGATTGTACATCAAGCTGTTCCAACTGGACTCGGATAAAAGAGCACAAGTTGTATCTGTTAGGGATAAACTGGCTTCATTTTTCGGCTCAGAACTTTTTATTCTTTCAGAATGAAGTTGGAGTTCACAGACGGTATTTAGAAGTAAACAGAAGTCTATACAGGGTTGAATAGGTGGAGCAGAAACGTAGCCTTCACAGTCATCAAGTGTATTGAGGTTAGTAATAAGGTATCTGAGGAATGTAACTAAAGCAAAAATATGTTCAATAGATGAATTTTCTGGTTCCTTAGGGACATCTCCAGATTCTACACATATTTTTGAATCAGATCTCGAAGAGTTGGATATAGACTTTTGTGAACTGAGCATAAAGGATTTTAGGATATTACTCGATATAACTTCCTGAGTCATCGATTTGACACGGTTGAAAACTGCAGTCTCAACTTCGTTTCCTTTTGTGACAGGCAAATGGGCCCGCACATCTTTAAGACATCGGCATCCTACACCAACTCGTTTGACGTTCAATGTGGTTAACTCAGCTAAAATTTCACCAACCAGTCGAGAAGCGTTTGCTAAATTAAGTTCAGCAACAGCTCTAACCTGTGTATAGGGGAAAGAAAGTATTTGAAAAAGGGGAAATAAAGAAATTCAAAAAGGCAAGAATATAAGTTATAGCCGCTTTACATCACTGAAAACGTCGGGCTTGAAATAATATTTAGTTTTTTTTTGCGAACTATCATACCATTTTCAGTTGCGAAAAAGCAATGAGACATTCGAATGGGTATACCTGGTTGATCAACATATAGTAAGGATCTATTTCCACTCCCTAGTAGTCTATGGATATAAAGTCAAGTTTCTTCCATAAAAAACTGAACAGCACATCTACACAGCATACGCATGACCGAATTTCATATTACTCTAAGATTCCAAAAAACTCACTATGCTCATTTTTCATGCTTTTGTATGCGCAGTTGTAACAGCAGTTCTGCTGTAGCGAAAGTTGGACATCAGCAAGTGGTCTAAGTCAAATGGTCTTATGTTAAATCCTTCCAAATGTCAGGCAGTTAACTTTACTTTCAAACATCGACGTGACATACATGAACTAGTTAGTTCCCATGATGCCTGTAGCATAGGTGGCACTGAAATTGAAACCAAGTCAAGCATTAAATAACTTGGATTAGTTCTTTCCTCTGACCTTTCATGGTCATCCCACATCTTATCAATCTCTAAGAAAATGTTTCGTCTCACCTTCTACATTAAAAAGTTAAGACAATCAGGTATCAACCAACCTTTAGTTCTGCAAGTTTTAAACTCCTGTATTTTACCTATTGTGCTCTATTGCTCTCCATTAATCTTTCCTGGGCTTCTCAAAAAAGACTATATCATATTACGAAGGGTATTAAATGCTATTATTAGGGCTTGTGGTTTGCCACTGCGTGAGCTCGCCAATACTATAGTCGAGAGACACATAAATTCCTGTACACAATGGGCAAAGGCCGTACTGTCAGATCCTCTGCACCCCCTTTATTCACAACTATCCCCTTGTATCTCATCAGATAGGACGAGAAGTCAATATAAGAATTTTTATGCTCGAACCACTAAGTAAAAAAATTCTACAATACCATATTTAGTTCGTATTTTATGTGATGAAGACTCTGTTAGACGTGAAACATATAAGTTACTTTGTAATTAGCAAAGTGAATCGACCCTTTCATTGTTCATCTTTCTGTAATTTTATGGTATCACCCTTTCTATCGTTTAATTATAACTTTGCTATTTTTGTTTTAGTTGTTATTACTATTATTACTATAATTGTATACTTTATGCATATTTTTCTCCGTATTGCATACAGTAATTTGCTAAAAAGCTGCTATAACAACGTTTTGTTATTATTATGTAATGTTTATTATTATTTTGTCGTTTGTTTTGTGTCGTTTTTGAGTAAATTAGATGCAATATTGTACTGAATGCTGAAAATTCCTTGCTATATTATTAGTACTATTTTTGGAATAAAGCAAATTAATTATTATTAGTTATTTGCTACAACTTCACTTGGAATCTAAACACTTTCGGACTGTAACTTTTACATTAGACGAATTCAAATTCAGGCCAAATACAACTTAGCAGGTAAATGAAATGTAGAATTACACACTACCATAAGTTTAATAAATAAGTGTATTCGTTATTGTTTTTTAAGATATACTGGATATGATGCCAGGTTATCTCAGGATTATTAAGTTTTTGGTCAACTATTCCCCCGACTTCCCAAGACTTAAGCAGGTATGAATAGACAAACTAAATAATAGTCAACGATCACATCAGATTCTCTGCTGCTAGTCTACATCGACCAACTACAGAATTATCGCAGTTAGTAGTCATCAAGTGAGAAAGTATCACTTCCTATTTTTTTTGTTATTAAAAGCAGAAACGTGGTTTTCTAAGAATTTTACGGAGTGACAATCGGTGTTGGAGTGTTGGCACTCAACCATGCAGATATTGTCAATACAGCTCACGAAGGGATGTCTGACCTAGAGTGGTTGTACAACAAAATTACGGGAGGGGGGAGGAGGAGGGTAGACTTAAATTTTCGGTTAGGAAGTTAGAAGTAGTTGGCTGATGCTTTGTGCATGACATCCTTTCTATATAATGGTTATCATGAAATGCTATTATTTGAATAAAAGTAACCATTTAAGAAAATGCAGATGCCTTAATCTTCATCAGCTGTGTCGATAAAATGGGTAGGTACTAGAATATTAACAATAAAAAGTTTTAAAAAGTACGAACAGTTATTCTGAATCAACTTGTATCACCTATCTTCTAAGTGTGTTATCCAATTATCTGACTACAGAAAGCACTGTAGTTTACACTATAGTATTAACGGGAAAGTATCTGGAAAAACCGTAGATGTCTTTGAATATGCGCTTCTGCTCCTATCAAGTTACCTATCAAGATATTCAACCCATTTATGTCGAGGACTGTCATGCCATATTAAAATTGGACTCAATCCACAACCCATTTGGCGCACTAGCTGCAGCACAGAATAGGGCGAAGTTAAAGTATCATAGCCACAGTCTTTCAGAAGTCGACGTCCAAGAACCAGTCAGATACAGGGAATGTTATGAAAGGTCATTTCTAATCAAATCATGCCTACCTTCTTGGACTTGGAGAAGGTAGATAAAGTATTCCACCTATTCTCTAGATACTTTATATGTAAACCTATACCGCTAGGTAGGGTTATGGCTTTTAAGACTAAGGTTTAGGGTCTAGAGCTGAAGTTAGAATTAGGATTATGGTTAGAGTTAGGAGTAGATTTGAGAAATGTCAAAGTACCATAACCCACAGTCACCTGGATGAGTGCATATATTGCACATGGTATGATTTCCCTATAGATCATCTGTGTGCTTACTGGGAGACATTCTTACAACACGCAGGGAATGTTTATTAATGCATTTTCAAACAATTATGCGTTTTTGTGCATCTGGATTCTGACTGGATAACCAAGGACACTGTGGTTTTAATTATGATATAACTTTGCACAGGATGGGAAAAAAGGCAACGGTATTTAAAAATGGCATGATTCGATGAAGCCTGTATCAGCAGGACAGCAAAAAGATTTTTTGTTACTGGATGATGGAGAAATATGTGCGGCTGGACTACCGGCTTATATCCGTAAGCAAGAGTGCAGCATCTTAGGTTGCCAAACCTTGGAAGAAAGTAAATAAAAGTAGAGGAAATGTTTCGGAACTATAGAGATATACCTAACCGATAACCCAACCTACAATGCAAGCCTTACTGGGAACAAAATGAACGTATATATCAAAAATGGTTGCAATATTAAACACTAAGAACTGCTTACTTTTTTCAGGTTTGCTTGAGAACTTGAGAAATCTGCATCGAAAATGGATTCTACAATTACTCTTATCTCTGAAAAAGTTTTTTCTTGCAAATCCGCTAAAGGTACAAACTCCTCTGCATTATGATCCAGTTTAGATGCCACCGATTTGCAGTCAGACATTCCTGAAAAGTAAACACTACAATTTCAAGGATAACTTCACACATAGTTGATATTTAATAAGAAAGTCTGTTACTAAATTTTTATTTTAAAATCAATCAAATAAATATCACATATTATGCATGTTTTTGTAAAGTAATTTCCACTCCCTCTTAGCGAAAGTCTTCCGCGCTAAACAACCCCTTCGCTCGTTTCAGGATGGTGTCTTTGTTGGCATCATAAGGAACATCGCGATTGGGTATTTCCAAAATTGCCGGAATGGCAACAGTGTGCGAATCTATTAGATGACGTATCATCTCTGCGACGTTCTGTACAATCAGAATTATAGCAATATCATCACGTCCAACAAATGATCTAAACACATCTTCAATATCGCTTTGTGTTGTATTTTTATCAACCACAAAGAAGTTTGGCCGACGGTTTTTATCGACTTCACCAGTACCGCTAAGCAAAAACCCAGTACATGTATCTTCGTCTCCTATTACTGCGATAAGTTTCCCACGGGCGGCAGATATGGCCATTAACGATCTTGTCAAAAAGCGCGCAGTCAGATACAGGTACTGTGCGCATTGTTAAACGAGGCATGAAAACAAATTCCATTGTTTGCATCTATCAGATGTCATTTATGCTCATTAGACTGCAAGTGATGATTATAGGCTTCCCTTATCAATTCCATTCAGTGAACAAAAAGTAGTCAGTCATTCATTGTGAAGTTTATCTCTCCTCACTATTGAGAAAGTTGACCATAGTAATGACAAAGATTTAGCTTGCTTCTCTCCAGAATATAGTATTTGTGGTCTGTAAAAGCATTAAATTGACCCCTTAACATTACTCAGTGACAGCACTTCTAATAAGAACGCCTTGATACATGGTGAATCATAAAATGGACCCTAGGAATGAGATGGTAACCTTGGACCATTTTGAGGTACTTTTGAACTAAGGTTAGAGACCAGGCGCAACGTAAATTAGATACTTTTGAGACCTTGCCAAATATCAAAATCATCATTCAGTGTGGTAGTAACTATTTATGACGACTGCATCGAAAACTCTTACTTGAAAATCAGTTAAACGCAATACAATCTCTATCTAGTATCGCAAAGTCAGAGGTTGAGTTAAGAGGTGAAAATTAGCAGCAGCCAGCCTATTGCTGGTTAACAGGGATAAGGGACGTAACAGTAATCCAATCATTTGGCTGGTAATTACTACTCGCAGTGTCGTTAGGATGCAGTTGAAAATCCTCCCAGGAAATGTACACTCTTTTCTCGCCTTGAAAATATTAAAGACCCACTTAAAAGTGTAAAGTGTTTCCGTGATATTTTTGAACCCATATCACGAGTTCTGTGGCACACATACAGTGTTAAACAGCATAATGTCAGGAGATACTTGGTGAACTTACGGACGTTATACGGAACATACTATTAATTATTTTCCAAGCAGATACTTGCTGACACACTTTTACGCCGATTTATCAAACTGTTTTGAAGTGGCTGGGATGGTTAATCTTCGAAGTCCGATCACCGGCCTCCTAGTGACTCCTAATGTTTATTGAAGGCTCTTTAATCCATTCGCAATTTTTTATACTTGTCAGACTCCAATGAAATAATTCTCTTCTTCGTGCAAAAGGTCTGATTATTTGACTGAATGTTAGGGAGGTGAAAAACAGGGGGACACATTCGGCGATTCAAGCCAATATATCTAGCAATGGAATTTTCAAACAGTGAAACCGAATTTCCAGGGTGGCAGTGACATTTCTTCTGTGTAGTGTCCATCAGTGAATGTTAGGCATTTTCGAATCAGTGTCGTAGGTAAAAGTTTACTAGTGTATGTCCTTATCAAGTCCAACTACACTGAAGCGCCTGCTGCTACTGAAAGAAACCTAACATGGAAGAACAGAGACACTCTGTATTCAAAATTCCATTATTTAGACACAAAAGAAATTTCCGAAACGTATTTTCTCCATAATAAGTGTCTTTAGAGATTTAAGAGCAGTTACTGATCACCATACTGGTTCTCAAATTCATATATGAAGCAGTGTGAGAGGATAAACATCACTTACTGGAAGAGGGAATTTCAAGGCCTGTAGATCATACCGGATTGAATTTCATATGCTAACTGTCCTCTAGTATGTCTAGTGTGATTATGGACTATATGATATGATGAAGAAATAAATACATTGTGTACGTCATATAGGTTGCAGGTGTAAGACAACAATCCACTTTTTATGCACCTGGATTCCAAATAGTGTGTCTGCTCAGCTGAAGTACTTCTGGTTTATTCCAGAAGCAGACGCGCAGATTGTCCTCAAGAACTTTTGTGCTAGGAATGATTCATCTGAGGCACAGGGATGGTTTTAGCTACTTCTATTTTTCTGGACCTACTAATACATTCACATGGTTTACTGCTTCCATATTGCTAGGTTTCATAGTGCGAAATGGTTTCGATCATTAGTTCGAAATATTTTCCCGTTTGCTATCTATAATAGTGATACAGATACCGTCCATGTCCTCATAACAGTGCTGGATTCATCTTTGCTAATTAAATACACATACATGCAATAATAATTCATGCCCACTCTGGTTTATGACATTATACAAATCCTTATCACCTTTGTATTCGCAAGTTCATTAGTGAGCCATTTTCGAAAATGTGGGGTTCCTCAACGTTAAAACGTGATGATTCGGAACGACATCCGGTAAGTATATGTTATATGGGTTTTACGCTTGCTGACACCTACACAACAATTGTATAAAGTGTATTTGAAGTTAAAATAAGAAGATAAAAGCATCAAAATAGACGGAATTACATCGGAGATGCATGATGAAGGCAAAACTGCCAAGCCACGTGGAAATAGGGCCTATGTTTGAAGGAGAATTTCGGTGAAGCCTTAGTGTCTGCCAATCACTTAAAAAAGAAGGGAGCAGATGAGGGGGCAAAAATACTGAAAGGGATAGCCCGGGTTCACTGAATTAGCAAAGACTATCAAACGGATAAGCTGCCAATTTTGACTTAGCAAACAACAAACTTCAATAGATTTAAATATGACAGGATTCATATATTTACTGAAATACGCTGAGGCTATAGCCATTCATAAACTTAAGCCCCCCTTGTATATTCAAAAACAGTTTGTTATTACTCTTAACCTACCTTGGTAATCCTTATTTGATTGGATTACCAAACGTTTGTGTTAATTATTCTTAATTCTTTTTTTGTCACCTTGTTTAATTTAACTTTTCCATATATATTGACTTGACAAGTAAATGTGTGATCAGATTGTTCGAAATGTATAGCGCTAATACATCACATTTTTCAGATAATCTCCGTCTTCTAATAATGCTATCAAAATTTATAAAAGGGACTAACTGCGTCGGTGACACAGAGGTTAGGACTCTCGCCAACCATGCAAGTGGTCCGAGGTTCGATTCCCGGCAGACGCACACTTAATATTGGGACTCGTACTTTTCGAACGAGTCCTTAGAGGCAATTCTTAACAACTTTTATCAGAATATCAACTCAATTCATGACGTCATTGCACCTGAGAAGATTCTTAGCTTCAGATTCCCCAAAGCGATTATATTCCGACATCGTTTAGGAGAAGTCTACGAAAGCACTCAAGAAAATACTACAGATATCATGACTTGTCATCACTAATTGCTATTAAGTCCCTTCTCAATAGAATTGAAGAGTTGAGAAATATAGGCCCCAGAAACAAAGAAATGCGAGCCATTTAGGCACCGCATAACTCAGGAGAAATAGCCAAACTTTTCAAAAGTAGGTTGACGGACTCCAAAACAGATTATCCTAAAATATTATACTTAGGCGGGATTGCTTACGAAAATCCTGAGGTGATATGTGAACTGTTTAGCAAGCACTTCGCCAGACTATACACCTTAGAGAACGATGTGGTCGTGGATTTTCCACGTAAAACAGACGAATGTTTAAGTGACATACTTTTCACCACACACGAGATCGATAAAGCTGTCGCAAATCTGAAGCTTAGTAACACTATTGGTCCAGATGGTATATCTTCCATTCTGCTGAAAAACGTTGGTAGTGACATGAATTTACTCCTGCTCACGTTATACTCAATTTCACTAAGCGATGAGACATACCCCACCTGCTGGAAGAAGTCTTATATTGTACCTATCCATAAATGCGGGCCTATAGCTGATATCAACAACTAACGCCCCATCAACATCACGTCTGTAGTTTCACGTGTAATGGAAAAGATAGTAAAGACTCAAATCATCCGGTACTTGCTGTCAAATGACCTACTGTCCCCATCCCAATACGGTTTCTTAAGTAGAAGGTCGTGTATTACTTGCCACTCAGATTATTTTGACTACATTACACAACGCATTGATAAATGGCATTCGGTAACAACATTATTTCTCGACGTTAGCAAGGCCTTCGATAAAGTCCCACATATCAGACTCATAACAAAACTCCAATCCTACGGAATAACCGGGGAACTTCTCAAATGGATAAATTCTTTTCTCACAGAAAGAGAGCAATTAGTCAAAATCAACCACCAGCTGTCTTCATCAAAGCCGATAACTAGTGGTGTAATACAGGGTAGCGTTCTTGGCCCTATTCTATTTCTCTTATTTATAAATGACATAGTCTCTATGATCAAGTATGGCAAGCCATACCTCTTTGCAGATGATCCCAAGATAGTATATGATTACGGGTACGATGATAAGAGCGTCGAAAGCAAAATCCAACATGACTTAAACAATCTAGGCGATTGGAGCGAAAAGTGGCAACTGACTTTCAACTCAGACAAGTGCGGTATAGCCCACCTGGGACGCTGGAAACCGAGAATGTGCCTATATATGTACGGTAAGCTCCTCTCGAAACTGAACACTGTCACAGATCTCGGGATAACATACTCAGATCTAACCTTTTCCGATCATGCAAATAAGGTCGTATCCGACTGTAAACGACTTATTGGCTTTGTGCTGCCTAACTTCTACACCCAAGAAGCAGGATTAGCTATATATAGAACGTGTATCCGCCCCAAACTTGAATATTGTGCTCTCCTGTATAGTAACCTAAGGTCTGCAGACCGAAAAAAACCGAGTGTTCAGAGATTCCTAACGAAACGCATAATAGGGTTTGACCAACCAGTGGAACATGTTGACAGGTGTATGCGTCTGAATTTAGAACCTCTGTGGTTAAGGAGAGTGAAGCGCAACTTATTTCTACTATTCAAAGTCATAAGAAAACACTGTTATAGTAACTCATCCATAACGTGGGAAAATATTAAATCATATCAGCTGCGAAACCACGGCTACCTTGTCAAGGTGGCTACCCACAGAAAATCCATTAGGGCAAACTTTTTCACCATTAAATATTGCACTCTTTGGAACCAACTACCATCTGAAATTAGATGTTGTGAAAACCCCAATGGGTTCAAACGGAGCCAAGAGAGACACATTAACATGTCCACCCTAGCTTGTCTAAAGGACCACAAATGTTGGTAAAATGGTAAGTAAAAGCCGGTCCAGTCTTCAGCTCAGTCAGTTACATATAACTCGACTCTACTACTTACGCAGCGAACGTTTAACTAATTTACTGATTTTCCTTTCTGTATAGTCTTCAGTAAGTTATGTTAATATAAGTACTTCTAG